AGGAAATATGAGAAAGTGACATCAAGTTGCACAAAGCCAGTGATAAAAAGAAAACCATAACAGCCGGGGGAAAAAGGCACATTATATGTAAAGCAAAAGATAAGGATGGCAGCAGATTTCTTGTCAGAAGCAATGTAAAGGAGCACAGTGAAAGAAACCATCCACAAAACGAAAGGGCAGCATACAAAACGGGAGGAGATATCACTGACAAGTGCTGTGTGTCTGGTAAGGGGGTAGTGCCTGGAATACCTGAAGGACTCATACAACTCAACACCAAATAAATCAGGAAATGGGCAGAGGACCTGAAACGAATGCCTTCTTTGGAGAAATTACAGATGGCCAATAGACACATGAAAAGATGCTCAACAACACTAATCAAGGAGTGCAAGTCAAAACCACAATGAGATCCCACCTCACACCAGTCAGGGTGGCCGCTGTAACGAGTGTGGGCGAGGATGTGGAGAAAAGGGAGCCCTCACGCACTCTTGGTGGGAATGCAACTTGGTGCAGCCCTTGTGGAGAGCTGTATGGAGGCGTCTCAAAGAATTAAATAGTAATACCATACGACCCAGCCATTCCACTTACAAGAATTTACCCAAAGAAAACAAAACACCAGTCTGAAAAGATATCTGCACCCCTGTGTCTACTGCAGCTTTGTTTACAAAAGCCAAGATATGGAAGCAACCTAAGTGCCCATCAATAGATAAACGGATAGAGAAGAGGAGATTCACATATATATGTATACACACACACGATGGAACTCAAATGGAAATCAGCCACAAAAAAAAAATGAAATCCTGCCATTCATGACTATAGGGATGGACCTAGAGGATATTATGCAAAGGGAAATAAGTTAGGCAAATACCATATGATCACATCTATATGTGGAAGCTAAAAAATAAAACAAATGGACAAACAGACATAGACTCAAACCCAGAACACACTGGTGGTCACAGAGGGGAAGGTGGTGGGGGGTGGGCGAAATAAGGGAAGGGGATAAAGAGGGACAAACTTCCAAATATAAAATAAATAAGTCACAGGGATGGAAGTACAGCTTAGGGAGTATAGCCCATAATACTGTAGTATCTTTGTATGGTGACATGACAGATGGTAACTACACGTACTGTGGTGAGCGTTTCAAATGTATATGATTGTCGAGACACTGTTGTACACCCAGAACTAATATGCTATTGTATGTCAACTATATATCAAATTAAAAATTAAAAATAAAAAACAGGTAGTTCAATCAATAGGACTGATGTAAGAGAGAAGACAGGGCAACATTTTAAAATACAGATGGTCCCCAATTTCTGACAATGGTCTACTTTTTTTTTGACTTAACAATGGTAAGTGATAACATACCTTAGAAACCCTACTATGAATTTTGAATTTGGATCTTTTCCCAGGCTAGTGAAATGCTGTCCCATCCTCTCTCGTGATGCTGGGCAGGGCAGAGAGCCCAGCCCCCTGTCAGCCACACGTGAGGGTAAACAACTTTATTATAAATGAGGCTTCGTGTTAGATGATTTTGTATAGATGTAGGTTAATGTAAGTGTTCTGAGCACGTCCACCATCTAGAGGGTGAACAGAGCACGTGTGAAGGCTCTCCCCTTCCCCAGTTTACAGCTTTGCCTATCATTGCCTACAAGGGTGGCCAGGAAACTCCTGTTCGGACGAGCACCTGGCAGTCAGGTAAGAATGGATGAAGCAAGGTGACAGCCACGGGGACACAGCCCAAGGGTACCCGCTGGCTCTGCCCTGGCGATCTGGGGGAGGGGCTATGTCCCCATTGTCCTGATCTGGGAGCCCCATCACAGGTGCGCGCAGGGTACTCAGGGCCCAACAGGCTCTGCCAGCTCCTCTCCAGCCCAGGAGCTCAGGCCCACACCTGCCTTTGTGGGGGGATTGTGTTGGACGTGAAGCCTGGGGGTGGCTCTCTGCAGCCATCGCCTGGGAGCTCTGTGGGGCCCCAGGCAGGGAGGACTCAGAGCACGTGAGCACGGCTCTCGGAGGCCAGGGCCAAAGTGGCCGGCACCTGGCCTCATAAAACTGAATGCGTAGAGTTGTGCAAGCAGGCCTCAAGGCAGGGGAGCCCCCCAATGCCTGTGAGGGTGTGCGACAAGCTTCTGACCGGGAGACCCCCGCTCCTACTCCTGCCCACCCTGGAACTGACCTGAGGCTGGCAGGCCCCTGCCCCTTCCCAGATCAGGCCCCTTCGTGGCTGTGCTCGGCTTGGGTCCTCCTGGGCGGAGGACACCTCATGGGCCCATGGCTGCTGGGAGCCTGCAGTGAGCCGGGAGCCCAGCACCGTCTGGAAGATGCCCTTGAGAGTGAGGGTAAACAACTTTATTATAAATGAGGCTTCGTGTTAGATGATTTTGTATAGATGTAGGTTAATGTAAGTGTTCTGAGCACGTCCACCATCTAGAGGGTGAACAGAGCACGTGTGAAGGCTCTCCCCTTCCCCAGTTTACAGCTTTGCCTATCATTGCCTACAAGGGTGGCCAGGAAACTCCTGTTCGGACGAGCACCTGGCAGTCAGGTAAGAATGGATGAAGCAAGGTGACAGCCACGGGGACACAGCCCAAGGGTACCCGCTGGCTCTGCCCTGGCGATCTGGGGGAGGGGCTATGTCCCCATTGTCCTGATCTGGGAGCCCCATCACAGGTGCGCGCAGGGTACTCAGGGCCCAACAGGCTCTGCCAGCTCCTCTCCAGCCCAGGAGCTCAGGCCCACACCTGCCTTTGTGGGGGGATTGTGTTGGACGTGAAGCCTGGGGGTGGCTCTCTGCAGCCATCGCCTGGGAGCTCTGTGGGGCCCCAGGCAGGGAGGACTCAGAGCACGTGAGCACGGCTCTCGGAGGCCAGGGCCAAAGTGGCCGGCACCTGGCCTCATAAAACTGAATGCGTAGAGTTGTGCAAGCAGGCCTCAAGGCAGGGGAGCCCCCCAATGCCTGTGAGGGTGTGCGACAACCTTCTGACCGGGAGATCCCCGCTCCTACTCCTGCCCACCCTGGAACTGACCTGAGGCTGGCAGGCCCCTGCCCCTTCCCAGATCAGGCCCCTTCGTGGCTGTGCTCGGCTTGGGTCCTCCTGGGCGGAGGACACCTCATGGGCCCATGGCTGCTGGGAGCCTGCAGTGAGCCGGGAGCCCAGCACCGTCTGGAAGATGCCCTTGAGCCCTCTGTGGACCCGTGAAGCCCAGGTGAGGGCTTCCTGACCTGTTCTGTGCTCTTGCCCCTCTGGTCACCTGGTGAGGCCTGAGGACTCCTCAGGGCCGTGATTTTAACTACACAGAAGATAACACACCAGCCAGCAAGGGAGCCCACATGTTAGTCTGCTAGAGCGGCCCCAAACGCGGTACAGCTGCGAGGCTTGAACAACAGCCCAGTCTTGTGCCAGGTCTGGAGGCCTGCAGTCTGAGGGCAAGGTGTTGGCAGGGCTGTGCTCTCCCGGCACTAGGGAAGGACTAGTGGGGGGGGGGGGTGGTCTGTCCCTGCTTCTCTCATCTTCTAATAGCCCTTGGCTGGTGGCCGCATAGTCCTGACCTTCCCAGCATTCCCCTGAGTATGTGCCTGTGTCCACACGTCCCTTCTGTCTCAGGACACCAGTCATGTGGCACTTGGAGCCCATCCTACTGCATTATGACCTCATCTTAACTGATTACCTCTGCAAAGACCGCAGGTCACGTTCTGAGGTTTAGGGGTTAGGACTTCAACATAGCAACTGGAGGATGCAATTCAGCCCATCATGTCTGCAAAATATTTTAAAAACCAATTTAGGATGGTGACTGTAATATCCACGCTTCTCTGTTACCATGTTAAGTAGTGTGATCTAGAAGCCACTGAAAGAATTCCTGTACTTTGGAGATAGTAATGAGTGTAAGTGGCATTTGCATATACTTCCGTTTGTAGTGTCAAATGAAAACAGCGAGAGACAATGTCACAGGGCCGGCAGGCTGCCGTTATTGGTGGGACAGTTACTTAGCTTCTCGTTGAAGAAAAATGCTAAATGTCAGCAGTTCTTGAAAATAAGGGTGTCCTGCAGCGTCTCCAGGAGGTTCTCCAGGGGCTAATGAGGCAGAGCCCAAGTCAGAGCCCAAAGCGCAACAAGGCAAGAGAGAGCCCTGGGCAGTGCGTCCCTGCTGGGAACGCATCCCAGCGCCCCCTGCCCATGGGCAGGGCCCCACTCGGCAGGTGCAGAGGGCTGGGTGGAGAGGTGGGCTGGGGCCTGCTCTGGGGGGGAAGCAGGAGGGCAGTGAGACGACATTCCCCGCCTCTAAGGGGAAAACCTGGTGGGGTCACTGGGGGCCGGGGTCACAGCATTTGGAAGTTTCTCACTGTGCAAAACAGCCACCTCCCGGCGACCCGGAACCAGTCTCTCTCCAAGTTGCCCCCTTAGAGACAATTGCTCCTTCTTTCCCAGGATGATTTCCGGCTCCAGAGGTTGAGCAGAGATGGTGGGCACGTGCCCGTGGGGTCCGTGGCCTTGCCAGCTCCCGAGCTGAGGAGGACGTTCAGAGGCAGAGAGAGCAGTGGGGAGTGCGATCCGTGCTCGGGCAGGCTCACACGGCGTGGACGCCTCCGGGCGGCCTGGCCTGTCCTACATGGAAAGCTGTAGCCACCTTGGGACTGAGGTCCCCAGGGATCCCTCGGCCCCAGCACATGGGGGACTCTGAAAGCCCCACTCCAGAGTCAGTCTGGGAACAGGGTGCCAGCCCTGTTCAGCATTGCAGGATGGGCAGCCCTTTGCTGGTATCATGGGTGGGGGTGGGGTGGGGGGTGCCTGGCATGGTTAGTGCTTTGCAGAGCCTGACCTTAATGCCCTCTGCTAACCCTGCCCTCATTGAGATGGTATCCGAGAGTCAAATGGCTTTTCCAACTTTGCACGCACAGAGAGCTGACCCAAACCGCCACTCAGCCTGAGTGCGAGCCCCTGGGGGAGCAGCCTCCCCTCTGGGCGTGTTTCCTCACCAGCAGGAAAAGGACAAGAATGCCCACCTCCCAGGGTCATGAGGATTAAAGGAGGTTATTCAAAGCTCTGGTCAGCAGACCACTGGGCCTGACCCCTGCTAGCACACCGGTGGGCGTCTGCAAGGTGGCTGAGGCTCTGCACGCCCTGCTTCACCCACTCCAGGAAGGGTGAGCAGGGCAGTGCAGGCAAGGCCCTTGCAACTGCAGACCCACAGGGAGTTGCACAAGCTACTACTTGTCCTTCTGTATGCACCCTCCTCTTTAGTGACAGTGTCCTGAGGAACAGCTATCACTCCCCAGCCTCCCGTGCCAGCATTCAGGAATTATGTGCGAGTCTGGGGTCATGCCCTTAAAGAGGCTTGCTGGTCACATCTTCCCTTCCTACCGGCTGGAATGCAGACGGGATGGTAGGGGCTGGGTGGTCACGTTGGGCCAGGAGACAGAAGCCTCGCGTGGAAGCTGTCAGAGCGACAGGAAAGGGGGCTGGCTGGGCCGTACCCCACGGGGCCTGGGCTCCCTTCCGTCTGCGAAAACGGGGCACACGCCTCACGCACCGCACAGGCTGTGTCTACAGCGGGGTGTCGCCTGGTTTCTGAAGGACAGCGTCCAGTCCCGGCCTGTCGGCGGCCCTCCCAGGGCGATGCCTGGGGTTGCTTGTTCTACTCACACCCCACTTTTGAGATCCGCTCGTCCACGCGATGATCATTTTTATTGGAAATGTGTCGATAGCCCCGTCAGCATCTGAGGCGTTCAAGCCCCATTTGGGCTTTGGGGGGCCTGTCACTGGCGGGCGGAGCAGAGGCGCGGGGACGGGGGCACGCAGCTCGGCCCCAGCGGCCCGGGGGGTGCGGGCTGAGCCCAGCGCCCCGCCCCTGCCACGGGCTCCGGGGCGCCAGGTGCGCACGCGCGGCAGGGGCCCAGGGCGGGCGCCGGGCAGCCGCAACGACTCCCGAGGGAACCCAGAAGCCTCCGCGCGGGGACCTCACAGGAAGATGGGCACGTGGCAGGGCGCGGCGGCCCGGGTTTCGGGAGACCAGCAGCAGGGCCGCGGCCGCAGCCGCAGCAGTGAGGTGCGTAAAATAGGGGTGTCCTGCAGCCTCTCCAGCCCCACTGGCCCGCGGGGCGGCCACGGCCCTGACCCGGTGGGCGGAAGTCGAGGTCTGCCCAGGCCTGTGACCCCCAAGGCAGGTCCCAGAACCATAGAGAAATGTTTTTCTCTTTATTAAGTTAGAAATGGATAAAAGCAACACAAATCCCGGGGAAGTACCGCTGCGAGGTTCTTTGTGCCGTGAGAAATGTGCTTGTGCCCACTCGGCCATTCAATGGGCCTAACCCCACAGCAGGGCCTGTGAACCCGGGCGCCAGGGCGGCCCCCTCCCGGGCCGGGCCTCCCCCGGGACCAGAGGCGCGTGGCTTCAGGGCAGCTGCCGCACAGCACCTACAGCAAAGCAGCCGGCTCTCCAGGGCCCCAGGACAGGGGTACGCTGGGGAAGGCCCCCGGATTCGGGAGGGGAAGGAGCAGATGCTTGGCCGGTTTCTGCCATTCCTACGTTTTGAGCTCCAAGGGCAAATGGGCCAGATCCAGCTGCCAGCTGGAAGGCCACAGTGCCCGAGGGCAGTGGGTGCTGGCAGGGGGCTGGGGGCCGGGAGGAGTCCCGGGCCCTGCGGCCTCCTCCACAGGGATGACTCCAGCCCTGCTGAGGGCTGTAGTGGCTGCTCTGGAGTCGCTCAGCGGTTCCGGTTCATACCTGCTCCTAGTCTCGGAAGGTAGGGCCAGGGTGGTCCTATCCAGAGAGGGGGTCATTGCTGCTTCTTGGGGTGGGCTCTGAGGAGGGGAGGAGACAAGGTGGCCCGAGGGCATCCGCTTGTCTAAGAGCACTGTCACCCAGGTTCACCTGGGTCCTGCCGTGTGGTTAGGCCTGGGCATCGGGGAGCAGCCTCCTGGGGTGTGGCCGGCCTGCCTGGGAGGTGGCCAGGTCGCTGAGGGCAAGGCCGGATTCTGGGGAGGGGCCCAAAGGAGTTCCCTCTAACCCAGGGGGTCTGGGTGTCACAGGTCAGCTGACAGGTTTCTGCTCTTCACATGTGTCCTTCATTTTCTTCTTGGCAACTTCTGCCTTAGTCCTGGAGGACCTTGTTCCCCTGAAACCTGAGTCAGTCTCTGTGGGATAACATCCCAATACCGCCAGGGAAGCCCGGAGTCACAGGCTGGGTCCTCAGGGCCCCCCAACCCCGGGGCTCTCCCCTGCCGGGCCGCCAGCCCCCATCCAGGACTTGCTGAAACGGGGGACCTCACAGCTCTGCAGATGTGTCCTCCCTGAGGCCGAGGAGCCCTGGAGTCCGTCCACGCCCCTCTGGCAGGTGTTCCCCCCTGCAAACCACTGCAAAGCAGAAAAGCCTCAGGCGACACACAGGGTGCTAGAGGCGGCTTCTCTTCTGTCTGAAGTTCAGAATGGTCCTGAAGCCACTGCTCCGAGCTTGGGGGCGGCTTCCAGCCATCTGGAGTGCGGCTGGCCTGCAGTGGACTTGAGCTTCCCGCTGCAGCAGACACATCAGGTCAACTCCAACGAGCGCTGCGGCGTGGGGTGGGGAGAAACACACAGTCTGTGAACGAATGAGAGGGAGAGAGAGAGTGTAAATCATGCCCTAAGCCGGACAAACTGATAATCAGGAGGCTGTGTGTAAGGGCTGGCCAACAGCAGAAGGCCCAGGTGGGACAGGCAGCTGTCATTTACCCGCAGTGCACACCGAGCAATTTGGTCACCAACCTGGGCTGGGGCTGCCTTGCCTAGAGGAACTATTTGTGTCCATTCGGCCACCCCAGCCGCATTTCCTGAACACCCTCGACCTGGCAGGCACACTTTTAGGCCCCAGGGAAATAGGAGGACAGACGGACATAGCTGCTGTCCCCACAAATCCTCGTCCAGTGGGAGGAACTGCTGGCTTACACTAAACTGCACAGTAATGACACATCGAGAGAAACACTATAGATGAGGAATGAAAAAAATCAGAGATTAGAACCAGGATTTATTTTGGTGGTGGGCATGGGAAGGAGGGAATATTTCACCTGAGACCTAAAGGGTGGACAGGAGTTTGGTAGAAGTGGAAACAGCAGTCCAGGCAGGAGTGGCATGTGCCCGGGGTGGAAATTTGGCATGTTTGAAAATCTAGAAAGTAGGCCAGTGTGATGGGAACAGCAAGGGAGGGGCAGAGAGCAGGGCGGTGGCGGGGTGGCAGCCACGCGGTTAGGAAGGACAGTTGTGAGCAGTAGGCAGCACGTTTATTCGTGGGCTCAACAGATGTTTACTGCGCAGCCCATCAACCCATGCCCTGCGAGAGACCATGGGGACTGACACAGGCCAGTCCCTGTGGCCACGGAGCGCCTACTCCAGGGCTGGGTTCTCAGGCAATGTGGTGTCCCCTCTCCCTGAGCTTCACGTTTTCCGGGTGACCGATCCCTGCCCCAGAGAAGGAAGGAGTACTCTAACGCACATGGAAGGCGTTGTGCAGAGCGTCCTTAAGGCAATTAGGAAAAGCCACCTGCCTAACCCAGAGCCACGCTCAGCAGAGCCAGAGCACGCCTCCCAGCAGGGGTGTGGCTGTGGGGGCCTGGAGGGGTGGGGGGTGCTCAGAACAGCAGCGAGGAGCCGTCTGCCCTGCGGGGCCATGGGTTTAAGAGCAGCTTCCCTGGAGCAGTGCCAGAGGGGCTGGCAGTTCTCCCCACGATCCCGGGGCAGTGCGGAGGGCACATGTGCTCTGGCCGGCAGGTGAAGCGCAGCTCGGGTGGCCCTAGACCAGGGAGGCATGCTGCACCACGGGTGCCCGGATCATGTCCTTCCTGCACCCGAGCTGCCCAAGGGAGGTGTCACGGTGGCTCCGCAAAGTCAGAGGTGAGCTGTCTGCACAGGCTGGCTGAGCTCCCCAGGGACCCTCACATCCACTCCCCAGGAGGCTAAGAGGCGACACAGCCTGAGCAAGGATGGTGGATGGTGAGGGTGCTCCTGGTCTCGAGGCCTGGGTTATACGGGCCCTGCCTTTGTTCTCGCTGTACAGCTGTGTGAGAGCTGCAAACATAAGGGCTTTATATCTAGGGGTAAGTTTGTCTGCATTTAAATAACATCATAAGAAGAAGAATTCCAGCCAGCACAAGGACCTGGGGGACCTTTTCCTTGGAGTGGGGTGTGCCCCTCGCCCCACTGTCGCCGCTTCTGGAGGGCTGGCTTGAGCTCTGCAGGACGCCCCCACGCCCCAGGGGCAGCGACGGCCCCCGGTTCCCCCAGGCTCCATCTGCCCTGGACAGCTGCAGTCCGTCCGACAGGGCAGGCCCCACACCAACCCCCAGCAGGGTGTCTGCAGGGGCAGGCGGAAAGCTGGCTCCCAAAGCTCCCAAACCGGGACGTTCCAAGAGGCCAACCCAGGCCTCTGGGCCTGTCCTGCTCCGCCCACCTGGCACACCAGGCCGGGGCGGGCACCCCCCCCCGTGAGGCCCCCCCTCAAGGCGAGGTCCCTGGGTGGGGCCCCACTCAGGGCGAGGTCCCTCCACTGCCCTGGGGCGGCCCACCTGGGCTGTCCTGCGCTGCTGAGGGGACAGCTCCCTGAAGGCACCCGCACAGCCCAGCTCCTGAATACCTGCCCGTGTCACACAGCTGCCTCAGGCTCACCCCATGGCCAGCCTCGTCGGGGGTGCCTGGATTTTTGGCAGCTGCTTCTCTGAGGCCTAGTTTCTCCATCTGCGAGACGGGATACACCTCCACCTCACAGCAGACGCGGGGTCAGCAGTTCCCCCAGGCTGCCCGTGGGCAGCAGGCCCTGGCAGACATCCTGCGGGGGGTTGGTGTGGGGTCTGCCCTGTCGGACTGCAGCTGTCCAGGGCAGAGGGTGTCCTGATCCCAGGCTGGCACAGGGCTGATCCTGATGAACAGAAGCCAAACAGGAGACGGCAGGTATAGGCACAAATGGACAGACCTGGGATGTGTTTTGAAAGGCCTTAACTGCCCGGGCACCTTCACCACAGCAGGCCCATCCCTTCATCCTGTGCTCTGGGACTTCCCCTGGTAGCAGCTGCCCTTAGGGCAGGACAAGATGTGCTGAACAGTCAGTGACCGGGCCCCCTGTGGAGCCCCACAGGGGACTAACAGGTGCTGGCACTGCACCCCCAAGCAGCTGGGTCTCAACAGGGCTTGTAAGAGAAGACACCCTCCTGGTGGCCTGGACGCTTGCCCTGGGGAACCCAAGCCCATCAGGGCCCAGGCAGGCTGGGGTGGGAGGGGGACAGGTGCTGTGCCTTTTGGGAGGCATGTGTGGTGGGAGGAACTCAGTGGGAGAGAAAAAGAGAAAATATGGCTCATGGTTACTTAGTGGGTGACCCAGGGGTCAGCGCCCACTCCCCGGTCCAGGGCCTTCCAGCTGCCGCTACCTCGGGACATGCTCCGACTGTGATACTGGCGCCCAGGGGTAGCCCTGGAGGACCTGCAGGCTCACACATGGCACCTCACCCCCACTGCCAGGGGCCCCCGCCCAGCTGCCTGGGGACGCCTGCCATGTGGGCCATGTCTGGGGCCCAAGTCCCACTCAGCTCATCTGCTGCAAACCCCTGCCCTCTCTGAGGCTCAGATGACACCCCGTAACAGCACCTGTGACACGTGGCTGACAGGGTTAGAGGACAGCATGACCCCAGCACTTGGTGCCCGTGGAAAGCTTAAATTGGCTGACACTGGGCGATCAAGTGCTTGGGACAAATGAGGGGTGTCATCCAGGGTGAGGGGGTGCTGTGGAGGGCAGGGGGGCCTCTGGCTGGTGGCTCCTGAGGTTAAGTCAGTCTCGTGGGACAGATGGAGGGTTAGGGGGCTGGGGAGGCGCTCCAGGCACGGGGTCCCCCCCAGGCCCTGTACCCTGCTGGACAGGGAGGTAAAGCTGCAGGGCAGGCTGAGCACAGAACCCATCCTCCGGCCCTGCACTGGGCTAGGCGACTCCAGCTGGCAGCAGCTCCGTGGAGGGCCACAGGGGCTGGGGGTGCAAGGGACGGGGAGGCAGGAGGCATGTGGTGGCCCTGGGGTGTCAGGCCCAGGTGAGGCTGTCCAGTCAGATGTAGGGCTGGCTGGGTTTCCTGCAGTACCCCCGTTGTGCCTGCTCCTTCGGCCCTGAAATGTAGCAGTGGCACCCGCGTGTGGACGGGCAGGCCTGGGCAGCACTCAGTGGGGAGTATGGGGAGGGCCTCCCGAATCACAGTGATCCTGGGGGTGGGGGCCGGACCCTGCAGGAGGGGCTGTTCCAAGGACAGCGGGAGTCCCCCTGCCCAGAACCTCCTGAAACCGTCATCCCCACCACCCTCCACTACCTCGTAGAATGCTGTGTGAACCCAGCCCTTGCTTGGTATCTTCTAGGTCAGGTCCCATGAGTGGCACCCTTTGTGTGCAGAGGGGGAAGCTGAGGCTCGGGGCAGCTGAGGAGTCCAGTCAAGGAGTGGGCCGTGGCCGGGGAACCTGCAGGAAGGCAGAGGGCTCACAGCCTGTGCTGCCCTGTCCTCCAGCCCTCTGGGGCCCCAGGGGGGCAGACACCAGCTAAGGCCAGAGACCACAGGTGACACTCCCAGGTCCCCAAGTTCCCCAGAGAGCAGGAACAGGGAACCAACGAGGGAATGCCAATATTCTCTTTGAAACTTTCTCCTCAGGGGACCAAGAACTCTGGCTGGTCAGATTTTTCTCCCAAAGAGGAATAGCACAGATTAAACAAAACAGAAAAGACCTTGAAAGGGAACAAACCCATTCCTGTCCAGGTTGGCTTTTGTGAGCCTGCACACCCGTGTAAAGGATTTGATGCCTTTGTCGGGCCTGCCCCACCTGCCAGCCTATCCCTTTAAGGGCCTCAAGGGCAGGCCGGATTCAGGGTAGCCACTGAAACCCCCGTGCTGTTTAGAAGCAATTCCAGCCAAGTAGGACTGTTTCCACTGTGCAGAGCTTTCTGCACCATGTCAGCAGCCGCTGGGTCATGGAGGAAATTAATTTTTCGGCTCTGGCTGGCTCCCGATGGGGTTCCTGTGCCCTGAGCTGAAGGGGACTGAGTCTGCGCCGAGGCCAGTCCTCAGGGCTGCAGGGGCCCTGGGGCAGGGGCAGGCATGGCCACCGTGCCAGTGGGTAGAGAAGCACCTCAGCTTGCAGGACAGCCTTGGCCCACTTTGAGGAAGGTCTCTTTTCTCGCAGAGGGATGGCAGCGCTGCCCTGCCGCCTCCATGGCGATGCCTGTCCACAGCACCGCACGTGCCTCACCCGAGCACCTGTCTGGCTCCCCTTGTTTTGCACTGCAAGACTGCTGAGGCCTGGGCTGCCCCAGGAGCCCTGGCTCATGGGTGTGGCATGAGGTCTGGGCTTCGGCATTTGAGAAGAGCCTGGCCTTGCCCTCGGCTTCTGGGAGGTGATCTGTGCCAGGCCTGATAGTCTTTGTGTAGTGCAGGCATGGGGTGGGTAACCATACCCATGTGACTTAGGGTGCGGGCTTTGGGTCACACTTTTGGGTCACTGTACAGCTGACCTGGAGAGAGTAACCATGAGGGCAATCAATCAGTCAATCCTATGTGCTGGGGCCCTGATAAAACTCTGGACCCCAGAGCTTGTGGAACTTCCTTGCTGGGAAATACTCAGTGGGCACTGTCACTCCCTGATGCTGGGAGAGCGGCACTATCCTGACTGCATGGGAAGACGACAAGGGATGCCTCAAGTTTGGACCCCCCGCCCCACGGCAGGCTGCCTCCTGCATCCTTGTCCTTGGTTGGTCTTACCCTGTGTGCTTGTCCTGTGGTAAAGCCCAACTGTGACCCTCCCAGCCTCCACACACTCCAAGAGTCCTTCCAGTGACTGCTCGGAGCTGAGGGTGGTTGGGGGAAGCCTCTTAACTTGCAGGTGGCATTAGAGGTGGGGATGCTCTTGTGTGGACTGTGCCCTGTGGCTCTGCAGGTTGGCCTCAGTGCCACACAGCACTGTCACGACTCTAAGTGGTTCCGCTATGCAGCTGTGTCTGAGACATGCACCAGTCTGAGTCTGATGTCATTTCCCCAAGTTGCTTTGCACAAGGTCAACTGCAAGTAAGGGGCAGAGCCAGGCTTTGGCTCTGGAGCTGGAAAAAGGTCCCAGAACCCCCAGCCACTTGCTGCCCCACCCAGCCTCCCCTAGAAGACACAGAGGTCTTTACTCAAGTGGGAACAGGCCCGGGGGCCTGAGGGCTCACCTGGCTGGGCTTTCATGAGGGTAGGTGCTTCCAGGTGCTGACAAAGGCAGTGGGGATGAGTGAGTAGGGCACCGTGGTGATGCAGTTCCACGTGTCCGAGGTGGGGTCGTAGCAGTCCAGGGTCTTACATCTCTGGGTCCCGAAGTAGCCCCCCACCACATAGAGCTTATTGCCCGAGGCCAGGGCATGGCAAGACATGCGCTTGGCAGTCATGTCCCCGACCCGCGTCCACTGGTTGGTCTCGCAGTCGAAGCGGTAGGCCGAGGCGGCCGTGAACTCCGTGTCACCTCCCAGGATGAAGATCTGGCTGCCCAGAGCAGCGGCGGCTGTGTACCGCCAGGGCTGGGGGCACTCGGCCCTGATGGTCCACCGGTTCTCCGAGGGGTCGTAGCACTGCACTTTGGACACCATGTCCCGGTGGATGCTGGTCCCTCCGAAGACAAAGAGCTTCAGCTTGGCGCTCACCACCGCGGCATTGCTGACACCGTCCCTCAGCGGGGCCACCATTGTCCACTTGTTGGCGCCGGAGTCGTACTTCTCCACCTGCTTCAGGGAGACGGAAGGGGAGGCCGGGAAGACGCCTGCCAGGGACGTGTGTCCCCCAACCACGTAGAGGCAGTTCTCCAGCTCGGCAGAGCCATGGCCAAAGCGGGCAATCAGCATGGGTGCTGCCTTGGACCACTCCTCGTGGACGGTGTCATACACCCACACATCCTTGGAGACCCCGTTCTCAGAGCCCCGGCCCCCGGTCACGTAGACCTTGCAGCCGATCGCTGAGGCGCTGAACTCCTTCCGGGGGCTGGGCAGGTCCGCCTTGGGGATGATCTCCTTGGCCTTGTGATCCACCTGGTAGATCTTGTCGCACATGAAGGTCTGGCCGCCCAGGATGAGCAGCGTGTGGCCTGCCTTGCGTGGCCGGGCGCAGGGGCTGGTGACCACACCGTCATTCTGCAGGATCTTGCTCTTGCAGTGGAGGGCCTCGTCCAGGATGAGCCTGGTGCGCTCGTCCGCCAGGAGCAGGGCCTCGCTGCGGACGGCCTCCTTCAGGCAGTCGGACGGCAGCAGGGCCAGCCGCACGCCACGGAGGAGCTCGGGCAGGTGGGCCTTCCGCTGCTCAGGGTCATGCTTCACCCACTGGAGGATGGCTTCAAAGACCACCCGCTCATCCTCCGTCTCCAGCTCGTCGCTGGAGACGAGGTCCAGCAGGGTGTCCTTGGACAGGCTGTTGAAGTCCTCACTCTGCCGCACCGTCTCGAAGTGCACCAGGCACATGCGCCAGGAGAACTCGTACAGCCTGCGGCACTGGTGGGCGTCCGACAGGAGCATCATGCCCAGGCAGTTAGAGGGGAAGAGGTTCTTCTCGAGGAACTCGGCTGCTGCGTCGCGCACGTCGTGGAACTGCAGCATGTCGCCGGCCTCCAGCAGCGACTCGGCATTCTCCTCGTTGATGGCGATGCGGGACGAGTAGGCGAAGTCAAGCAGCAGTTCCAGCACCTCGGGATGCAGGCTGTCCTGGAAGTTGACCGTGTCGTCCCGGCTCTCCCGCAAGCCGTGGCTGAACATGGCCTCAAAGTAGCGGCTGGAGGCAGCCAGCACAGCGCGGTGGCAGGGGAAGGCACGGTTGCCCGCCCAGAGCGTGACATCTGTGAACATGCAGTGCTTACGCAGGGTGTTGAGGTGGGCCAGCACGCAGTCGGGGTGTGAGGCCTTGTGGAAGAGGGTGATGTTCATGGACCCCGTGCTGCTCCGCGACTTGCGGGTCTCGTGGACGCTGACTGACATGCTGGGCCAACCTGCTGGGGGACAAGGCCACAGGTGAGAGGGACCAGGCCCAGGCTCCCCACCTGTCCGTGTGGTAGCTCACCCCCACCTGCAGGCTCCCTACCACCTGTGCATGTGGCAGCTCACCAACAGCCCCAGGCCCAGGCCAGCCACCCCTGCTCTTCCACCCCTCCTCTCGCTCAGATCTGCACCCCTTCAGCCATGTCACCAGAGATGATGTGGACGGCAGTGGCTGAGTGTCACCCCTACTCTTAGGAAACTGCTTTTGTTCTCAGGAGTTGGGACCAGCTCTGAAACCAAAGGCCTCTGGCCTGGATGTGAGCCACCCCTGGGCGAGCTGAAGCTCGTAATGCCTCCCATGGCTACAAGAACATGCACATGGTGTCCCCAGCCAGCAAGCAGCCGTAGGGGCAGCGCTAAGTGGCCAGTGCCCAGGACCACATCCCCCCCCTCAGATGATGTGGCTCTTGTGGCCCCATTCTGCTAGGGAAGCCAAGGCTCAGAGAGGCTAAGTGGCCATGCAGAGTTGTGGAGCCGGGACTACCAGTGTGGGCTGTCCAGTTCCTAGCTCAGTCTGCCCTCCCTGGGCCCCAGGAGGCAGATTCCTGCAGGGTTCACTGTGGAAGACTTGAAGCAATATGCCCAAGGAGCAATGGGCTCCAGGCAGAGCCTTACACCCACCGTACTCCCAGTGGGACCTGTCCTGACCTGGGCTCCAGGCAGTGCCGGCCAGACCCCTGCAGTTCCCCTGACCCTGACCTTGGAAAGATCCCAAGAGTGGCCTCATACCCCAACTGCTCAGTGTAGACATGTTCTGCAGACCCAAAGGCTTCCAAAGGCCTCATGCCCCATCTGGAATGAGCAAGCATTTGGAGGAGAGGCCAGCTGACCTTGCAAGACACCTCCTCAATTCCAAAGTTCCAACAGGAAGCTAAGAAAAAAAGGCCTGGATGACAGCAGGACATGCTGAATGCTAAAGCAGTCCAGATTTGCCTCAGCCAACTACAAGATCCTAGGCCACAGCCAGCCACTCACCTGCCTCCCCACCTGCCCTCCTTGGCCAGGCCTGGGACTCAGGCGCTCACAGGGCTGGTGTGTGAGAGCAGACAGACACAGCCTGGTCACCTCCTTGGAGTGGGGGGACTCCAGAGCTTTAAGAAAGTCCGGACAGTTGCACAGCCTGACGCACTGCAGCGCCGTGGGAACGAGGCTCAGACAACAGGCACGCAAAATCATATGTCTTGAGAAAAGGGGGTCCAAAAGTGAAGTGCATTCAGCATCCTGACCCCCAAAAACCTGTTCTGCCTTCTTTCTGCTGGATATTGAGGCCAAAGAAAGCACCCCTTTTCATTTTTCATCTTCAAAAGTCTATAGCCCTCCCCCACTCTAAGTCAATTTTCTACTTAAGCAACAATCTGGGAGGGAAGGAAGGAAGGAAGCGATTTCATGCTTGAGCGCAATTGTAAATTGGTGTCCAAGGGCAGCGCGCTCTCACTCAGCCCTGGCAGAGGACCAGAGCAGCCGCGTACTGCCAGTCAGAGCTGCCTGGGCACAGCCCCACTCTTGGGCCATGGTGGGAAGGCACGGGGCCGGGGCTGGCCTTGCTGATCTGGTCCCAAGCTCCAGGCAGACACTGGGCCAGTGACCTGCCTGCGACACTACCATGTACGTCTGCCACCGCAGGTCACCAGGCTCCAAGGCTGTGAGAATGTGAGGGTGGGGGACCCCCCCCATCCAGGCTGCTCACAGGGGTCCCCCCTCCACCACCGGTACTGGGGCACCTCTGTCCTCCTCTGAACCCTGATTTTCTCTTCTGTAAAGCAGAAGTCCCTGTCCTGCCCAGGCCTCAGAGCCACTCGCTTATTGGCAGTTACTTACATGACTGAGATCTGGCCCTGGCCCACAGAGGCTTTACTGGCAGCCTGGTCCCCACAGATCTGAATTACAGGCCCTGCAACACTTCCCCAAATCATGCTGTGATTGCTGAATCCTCACTCAGGCTCCTTCCCCCTCAATCACAGACACTTTCCCAAATGGGGCCGCTCACCGGGTGGCCTGTCTGACCCATCCCAATCATGCCAGGGCTGTTTATGGGCCTCGTCACCAGGTATGGTGTTTATGAGGTATGGCCTTTGATCCGTGCAGTGCACTGGGGGATGGCTCCAGAGACTCCAATTCAGGGTCCTACGCAGAGGCGGGGCCTCACTTACAGTCCCAGGTACCTGCGTTTCTGTGGGCCCTGCCTGCTCTGGGTCCCTGAGCACCTCACTGCACCTGCCCCACGCCCGGCTGCTTCTGAGCTGAATGCAGCCTTGAATGCGTGGTGCCCGTGTGTGGTGGGCTCCGTGGCCATTCACAAGGCCTGGCCCCGGGCCGGCCAGAGAACCAGCGGCCCCCACTTACTCTGCAGGCACATGTGGACGCACATTCTAAACCGTCAGATGGAGGCCCTCTTGGGATTTCTGGCCCTGCATGACACATGACACACATCCTTCCCCCGGGTGCCCCGCATGTTGCAGGTCCATCTTTCTGAGGCAGCCACATGGGGGACCCAGGTGGAGCACCCCCTTGGAGGGGCTTAAGGGCAGGACGAGGCAGGAATCAAAGACTGAGAAAGTGCAAACCCGAACAGAGCAGCCCATTTGCCCTGAGAAGGAGGTCGAGCGGTGACTCTCTGAGGTTGACAGGCGCCTTGCTCAGCACCAAGATGCCTGCCTGCGGACGCAAACTCCTGCACAGGCGGCGAGCCAGCGACACGCACACACCCAAGCCGGTTCCCACCCGGCTGCGTGCCCGGGCACCTCCGCGCAGGGGCACCTGCGGCTCTTGGCCCCGTCGTCCTGCCCTTCTAGGCAGGGCCTGCCCCAGGCCAGTCTGCAGGAGGAGGGCCTCGTCACCAGGCCTGTGGACCAGCATGTTGAGGCCAACACAGGGCAGCCATGCAGAGCTGCAGACCCACCAGGCTAGAAGGTGGGCGCTCTGCGTGCTGCCTGCCCTTTCTGGGGGCTCCTCATCTCAGCTACCAATGACCTGGCAGCCTCACTGCTCCCTCAACTGTACCACGTGCAGGGCAGCTCTGGGTGTTTCCCCAAGCCTGCTCCTCCCCCAGCCTGGAAAATGGCACCAGGCCAAATACCAAGGCGCACCCCACTCCCCACATCCAGTCCACCAGCAAGGCCTGTGGCTCCAGTTCCTGAATGAGTCCCAGTCCGACCCTCCTCCCCACCTCGGTCCCTCCCCTGGATGAAAGAACACCCACTCACAGCTTCCGCTTCTGCCCTTGCGCACCAGGGTCTGTTCTCCATTTGACTGAATGAACCCATCGGCCCCTGCCTTTGCCCCAAGACGCATGTGGTGTCCAAAGCACGCTTCACGTCTGCTGGAGTGCACGCCTGTCTGCTTCCCATGTCCAGAGAAGGTAAGTCCCAGGCTGCGACGTGAATGCATGTGGTGGGCCCTTAAGCCGTGCAATGCCCTCCAGCTGCAATTGGCCGGACTGGCCAGTTGGCCCATGCCAGCCTCCCAGCCACCTGCCCCACTCCCAGATGAGCCGAGGAGACTTTGGTTGTGACGTTTACTGGAGCTGTGGGGATGAAGCGGGCTGTACCAGGGCCACTGACAGGGCAGGACCGAGGCCAGGGGTGAGAATGGATGGCAGCCGGGCTGCCCAAGATGGGAGCTGCAGCGGACGCGGAGCGGGCCCATCCCTGCAGAGCCCCAAGCCAGTCTCCCCCCACCTCTCCTCTTGGCTGTTTGAGAGGGGCTTCCGTTGCTTGTCCCAGCTGGCACCAAGACTCACTGGGATGTCAGTTCCCTGAATTGGGATGGGGGCTGCTTGCCCTGGTAAAGGGTCTTAGCTGTGTGGGTCCCTCCAGCCTTCAACCTCCAAGGAGGCCCCACCCCAGATGACTGTCAGTGTGCAGTGCCAGTTACACGCCCAGCCCTGTGAGGGCTGGGGACAAAAGGAGTGAGACGGATGTTCCCAGCAAGTGGCAGGTGGGGTGAGCATCTGGGAGCCTGCGTGGAAAATCAGGTTGGCCAAGGCTCCCTGCTGTGGGGGAGGGGGCGCCACAATAAACACGAAACTCCCACAGAACTACTTTGACTACCTAAGCGTCATTGCGGGCTTTGATGGATTGAGGCACGTGAAGTAACTGACTGCATGACACTGCCAGGCTCCAGACCAGCAATCTGCCATCCTGCCAAGAGGTATGGATCCACCTCAGACAACACCTCTGCTCCCTACAGCACGGCCTTACCTGCAGACAAGCAGTTACAGTGCACCAAAGAGCCGCGTGCTCCTTTCTCCCATCACGCTGGAAAGCTAAACTGCACAAAGAAACAAAGTAGCCAAGGGGAAAGACCTTCGGGAGAAACCTGCCAGCTCTCTGAAGATTCCAGTGACCAAAAGCTAAAGGCCTCCATTCTCAGGGGAAAACGCTAGAGGCGACGAAAGCTGTCTTTCCAACCCCGTCCCCACTTCCTCCCCAACCCAGGAATCAGCAATGCTTAAAACGTGGGCCAAAGCCCCGTGATTCTCTACTAGAGGCCAGAGGCGGTGGGGAAAGCCCAGGGCCCGGCAGGCAGGTTGCCGATAATATGGTTCTGATTCACTCACTGACTATAAGCTTCCTGAACGATCCCTCACGCCACGTTCCAGGCATGGGAGATGGGCGGAGGGGAAGGGTGACAGGTGCCGCCCCCGGGGCACTGCACTCCAGGGTTGGTGGTATGGGGGCGGGGACAGACCCACAGCAAGGAAACCAATCAGTGAATGTGTGGGTCCCTTTACCCCCTGGGAGCACCCGAAGAACACAAGCTGCAAAGGGACAAGAAGACAGTTGGCTCCTTTCAGCCCCTGTGAAGAGGGTCAGGAGAGCTGAAGCCTAAGTGATAAGCTGGAGTGAGGCTGCAACAATGGGGGGAAAAGGCAGGTTCCAGGTGGAGGCCCAGCCAGTGCAAAGGCTGCGTGGAAAGAGGTAGGCTCGCTCAGGGAGGGGAAAGGTCAGGCAGACAGGCAGGGTGCCAGTAGGGCGGACAAAAGATGGCCGTAAAGTCTGTGACATACCTGCCACTGACAGGTGGGATCTGTGTCTCCTCCCCGTGACCCTGAGCAGGTTCTGTGACTGACCACAGGGCCCTAGCTCTACTGTGCCCATTTCTGTGCTCAGACTGTCAGAGTTCGGTAGCTTCGCTTCCTGTCTCTTGTAGTGCTCACTCTGGGGAAAGCCAGGCACATCACGTGAAGCCAGACAACGTGAGGCCACCATACTGTGAGGAGGCTCAAGCCTGCCACACGGTGACACAGCAGCCTGACAGTTCTCCTCTGCCCCCGTTCCAGCCACGTGAACGAGGAGTCGGCCTCGGGCATTCTAGCTGCAGCAGACGGACCCCCCAGCCAGAGGTGAGAACTGGGGCTGCAGACAAGACCCCAAGAACCGCCAAGGCCACAGACGGCCAATCTCAGAACCCCAGACAGATCCTGACTGAGCACCTGCTGGATCCCAGGCTGTGCCGAGGGCTGAAAAAACAAAAGTCATGGGCCTGCCCTGTGGGCTGCGCAGCAAGCACGCACCACACAGGAGCAAAGGCCCGGGTGCGAGAGGCGGAGAATGCGCTGGGGCTGTCTCGGGATTCTCCTCCGCGTGCCAACCCAGCTGTGGTGCAGAGGCCCAGAGGAAGGCTGGCGCTCCTGGAGGCAGCTCAGCCGCAGCTCTGTGACACTGGGAAGGTTAACTCACCTTTCTGGGTATATTATTTTTTCAACCATAAAGTGTTGATGGAAACAACTGCTACCAAACAGAGTCGTTATGAGAATAAAAGGAGCTAATATCTGGTAACCGTCTCCAGCAGCCTGGGCCCATAACGCTGACTGGGTCAGCTCTTTTATTACTGTTGCTGTTATGACCACCACCGCCGAGCACAGAGAAGAGTAGACACTGCCGATACCTCCTCCATCCCTGCCCTCCACTGGGAGTAAAGGGATGTTCACTGTCTACTCTATTCATTTCTAAGTCACTTTCATATTTTCATAAGTACACAAGACACTACAGGTTTCTGTCCAGTCTTCGGGACCTGGGTTACTCCTGGAACGGTACTAGGGAAGGAGTGAAAAGCTCTTAAATATCACACACAGGCAGCCTCAACACTGCAACCATCGTTCCGGACAGGCTGCGGGGCTGCGGGGCTGCGGTTTAAATCCCTGCCCTGCCCTGTGTCTTGGGGAGAATGCAAGCACCGCTGGGGAGCCCACAGAGCACAGGGGGATCCACACGTCCAGTTTTCAAGTGGAAAGTCAACTGAGCACCCTTACTAAGCAGACAGATCCACTTGTTAATTCAAAGTAAAATTAGTATGACCATTGGAACTGAATCACAGCCACAGACCATTCTAGGTACAAGTAAATTATCAGAAACAGGTCCTTGCAGGAGATGTTTCTGCATTTCAATGGCCCTTTTTTCAAAGGAACAAAAACCTTCTATATGTTTATTCAAAAAATTGTATATACCCTGTTTTTAATTTAAAATACAACGGATTAGAATTGTTTATACTTTTTGCTGTGTGTACTTATTCTGATTTTGGTTTCCAGCTTGTTACTGTGAAAGATTTCAAACCTGTAGTGAAGTCCTGGGAATTGTGCAACACACACGCCCTGGCTTCTCTCCTGTGGTTCCTCTGCTGGGTGCCACCGTGCCCCACCCTAGCCTCGGCCTCACCCCAGTCCTGTCCTACCCTGACCTCACCCCATCCCCCTGCAGGTGAATGGGCCGGCTGGGGGATGGTTCTAGAACAAAGCGAGGCTCAGGCAAGGGGGGAGGGTGTTGCTTCACACACTACTTGGTAACGGATGGGGTTCCAGATGTCTCTGTAGAAACCGTGCCCTGGGAAGGGTGCAGGGCAGGCCAGCCGGCCCCTGGGCTCACCCCCACACGGCAGACTGCCAACCCCTGTCCACACCCTTGGACAGAGAGAGCACTGTGGGGTGACCTGGTTCCCACTGCTGTTCTGACGTCACACATGGCAATGCCACCAGGCCGTCCCAGGTGTCGCCCCACCAGCTATCCCATGTGGGCAGCAAGTCCATGGGCCCTCTGCCTGCCTGCAGCCCAGGTCTGCAAGGGGAGGGCCTTCTCTATTCTGGCCTCTTAACTTAATGCACCCGAACGTTAAGCACACTTGAGGCAGGGCAGCCACTCCAGCCCCCATGATTGACAGCCAAGTCCCCAGCTGACTGCAGCCTCAGGTGGCCAGGGGGCCAGAGCTGTTGTTACAAGCTGACAGATGCTATTGGGATGGACACCAACTCCACTGGTCTGGAAGCAGTGCTTCTCCCTCCCGAGGAAGGGTGTGGCTGGGGCGCTCTGCGGGCCTGACCCAGGGCAACACCTTCTGCCTTCCAGGAAGGCCCAGGACAGGGGTCAGGGGTCAAGGCCTGTGAAACCCTGCGGACAGATGAAGAAACCTGTTGCGGAGGATCAGCAGGGAGTTCTGGTCAGGAAGGGAGCCAAGTCAACGTGACCACCACGCAGCCACGCACTTGCGCCGGGCCCGACACAGGTCTTACCCTCCCAGCCAAGCCCCACACACCTGTGACTGTTTTAATCGGGACAGGCTATAGTAACAGACGCCAGAATTTCAGTGGCCTGAGAGGACAGAGATTTCTTTCCTGCTCATCACGGATCAGGAGGTGGGGGTGGGGGAAGTGTTCATCTCATCCCCTCATCCCTGTCGGTCCCAGGGACCCAGTGACAGAGCAGCCACGTGTCACCATGCCGATGGGAAAAGAGAGACACTGGGAAGTATGGCGCTGGCAACTCAGTGTTTGGCTGGAGGACACACGTGATTTCTGTTCCCACTGCACCGGCCAAAACCAGTCACATGGCTTCATTCTCCCACTGAGAGCTGGAGGGCAGCCCTGCCGTGGGCCCCGCTCTTTCTCTAACTCATAGATAACAAAACAGCAGCTCGGAGATGAACGAAAATGGCTACAGCACTGCTAATACTGCAGACGTACTATGTTGCACTCAATTAGTAGAGGAGGTCTTTGTATGCTACCTTGTCTAGTCCCCCACAGCCTTCAGTTAATTCATCCTGTGCTCTGGACGGGCTGGGACACTCGGCAGGGAAGTGGGCACTGAGCTCCCACCCCTACACGGGGTGGGCCCAGTGGTGCGAGGCGGTCAGATACAGGTCCACCCTTTACCTCACACCTAGGGACTGAAGAGGTCTGTCGTCTCAGCCTCCAGGTGGGAACCCGGGACACTGTCTCCTCCGACCAGCTCTTGCACAGTCTTCCCAGCCAGCTTCCGTGCCCTTGAGGCAATACCATCGTGAGAAGTCACCCTCCACACCCTCAGATACCCAACACAGGTAACAAATTCATCCTCCCCTGTGCATCACAAAGGTCCTAATGAGATACAGCTGCTCAGGTCATTTTTTGTTCTCTGCTCAGATGAGGACCCACAGTTGGGCAATACCATCCCAGGGAAAGATCTAATGGTCTCCCACCCTTCTGCCGGCCGCTCAAAGACAACGGGAGGCTTTTGTTAGCTGCTCACCAACATGGTTTTGTTTTTAAGAGAAGCCATCTTGCTGAGGAGGGACGCAAACTGGCAGAGCCCTGCCACCTCTGGGCCACGCGTTGTGCCACAGCGGCCAGGGATGACCAGCGCCCCTCTCTCAGCCCAGCGCCCTGTCCTCTCAGGGTGAGCAGTCCAGGAGCCACGCGAGACAAGTCAAGACGCACACCGGGAAGGAGCTCGATCATTTTTACTGAAATGACAACATAAAAGGAAAGTGCCAGCCTCTAAGATGTAACCCTCTGGAATCACAGCCCCCAGCACAGGCGATTTCCTGGGGTGGGGCTGCGGAAGGCAGAGGGTGAGGACGTTGCCCTAAAGGGGGCAAAGCTGGTTCTTGGGGTGAGGAAAATCTTACTATTTTTATGTACAAAGCACAGATATACATACATTACACAAACTTGGAGTCTATCTCTTGTTAAAATATGTGGAGGGGGTAGGGGCAGTTGGGAAAAACAGGCCTAAAAAGCCTTGGGAGGGGAGATGATGAGGTTGGGCAACACTGGCAACAAGAGTAACTATCTTCCCTTTGGTTTACTTCCTTAGGCTTTTATCCCCAAACATTTTACACTGTTGCAAGTATGGAATGCTAGTTCACATTGTTCTCAGCTATTCAGTTTCCACATCCCTCTCCTTCAGTCGGGATTGAACAAGGCTGATGGGGGCTGCTGTGTGCAGGCCCCGCAGGCTTCCGGCTCCCTCATGAAGTGCTGTGTCTCTGTGCCTGTCACTTGTACTCTTCGATCTCTGAGATAGATGATTATCACCGTGATTTACTAATCCATTCATCCATAGTTTTTTTAATTTCTATTGAATGAACAATGTCTTTGCCTGTGTTGAATGACTGTATTCTCTTGAGATAAAACCTTGGGAGAAGAATTACAGATGTTTGATGTCATAGGTTGCTTAAACCACCCCTGCCACAAAGAGGCTTTTTTTCAGCTAAGGGAGGGGTAGCTCAGACACCTCGAACTCCAGCAGGGCAGGGCAGAGAGGCTGCTACCCAGCTTGTGCTGCCACATGCTGCTCCCCCTCAGTTCGGAGGGGCTGCTGGGCGGCCTGTGGTCCCCAAAGCTGGGAGCCTACAAGCCCAGCTGTTGCACCAGCCAGGGGCTGGGCCACTGGAGCGGACATCAGCGCTCTAATCAGAGATGCGACAAAGGACTGGCACTGTGGTTTACCCATCTGTTGAAATAACTTACTTCCTGTCACTTATCCAGAGCAGGACAGGGAGAGAAACAAAGAGGGGCAGAGAGGACAGTTTCCTCCAAAGCAAACATTGTATCATGTGCCTGGGTTCCTCCCTCTTCAGCGGGACTGGCACAGCCCTTGGCAAACGGGGGCTTTTGACCTGGAAGAAGGCTGACTCTCTTCCTGTCTGGTCTCCTGAAAGATTCACGAAGGCCCACAGATGGAGTCATTAAAAGCACTTTGGCCTAGATATCACTTTCATGAGCCACCTGGAGCCACAGCCTTGCAAGAAAACGGACATGCAGAACAGGAGGAAAAAAAAAAAAAAAACCACACAAGAGTAAAGCCATTTACTGGTATCGGATTTCTTTCTCCCTGTTCTCTAGAAGCTTCCTTCTTCACCAGGCTGTCAGCATTGGTGCTGAACCAGAATCAGAACGTTCCTCAATTCCTAAAGCCCAAGACACAGCTCTTTCTCTCCCCAGTGAGGACCAAAGGCAGGGGCAGGTGGCTGGAGAGCCATCTGGCAATCTTTCAAAAGGGCAAATGCGTGAGCCTTCTGCCCCAGAGCCTTCACTCCTGGGGACCTTGCCCTCAGCTGCACCTGCATCTGTGCTAAAAGCAAAAGGCTGGAAACAACCTCAGTGTGCATGAGTAAGAGGCCCAGTTAAATGAACCCCGTTTCCTTCACAGAGTGGAGCAGGGCGCAGGTATATAAGACAAAATTAAGCAACTGGTATTCTGTGCTAAAATGAGAAGTGCTTGAATAGGATGCTCTTTTACATGTTAAAACCCAGACTACCTGCTGACACACACACATCTAACATGCACACACCTGTTGGTATGTGCACGGACTGTAAGAAACTGGCTGACAGCAGCTACCGCTGGGGAGGAGATCAGAGAGGCTGTCTTCACCACACACCCCTCGGACCCTGAACTCTGCCAGATACAGCGGCACTGTTCTAAACACTATGTACATGTCCGGCCCTTACAACCTCCTCAAGGTGTCACTGTCATCACTGTACACAGATGGACAAACAGGGGCTCAGAGAAGGTCAGACATGAGCACACAACCTCAGTACTCAAAGCTGTGCCTTGCCAAATGGCACAATGTATGCCATTTAGGAGGACGAGGAACCTTCCTGACGGAAACGCTGTGTGTGCCTGAACAGGAGATGCTATTTGAAATGAAAAGCCCTTGACTTCTCCAGCACTCTGCTGCCGTTCAGCAACCTGCACCTTCCAAGGCCTCGGGACTGGAGAAGTGTGCAGAGGTGTGTCTCCCCACCACTGGTATCGTCTTGAAGAGGGCCCGGCGACTGTCTTTCTCCATGCCCGGAGAACAGGAGCATTAGTCTGGGACCTCCTGCCTTACCAGCAGTGCTACCTCCATGCCAGGGGACCTGGACTGAATTTCAAACACTCAGTTTCCACATTTGTAAAGTGGGCATGAAAAAGGTCTCACACCCGCCTCACAGGACGTCTGAGAAAATCAAGGGGGAAACAGAGGCAGAGAGCTGGGCTCATGGCCTGACGCCCTGTTCCCAGTCTGCAGGGGCTCCCCGTAGCACAGCTGTTCTCAAATAGTTTGGCCTCATGACCTTTTTACAATTTAAAAATGAGTGAGGCCACTAAGGGGCTTTCATTTACTTGGTTTTGCCTGGTACTATCTGTCATATTCCAAACTAAAACTGAGAGAAAACTGAAATGTATTACTAGTTAACTTAAAATAATAAATCCATTATATATGTTAGCGTAAGTAACAGTTGTTTTTCATAAATCAGTTTTCCAAAGAAAATCCAAACAGTGACTAGATGCTCGTATCTGCTTCTGCATCCGAATTGTTAGGTTTTCACTGAAGAACACAAGACCATCGAGCCTCACATGGACAGGCAGCTGGAAGAGCGGGACTCGAGAGCCTATAGCTGTGGACGCTCCTCTCTGATCCCACGCCGACACTGGACAAGCGGAAGCTCCTTACAATTAGCTGCAGTGCGGGGCCCGGGCCCGCACCAGTGACTTCTGTCCTCTGACATTCTGATCCCTGGTCCATCTTGCACTCTGGATTTTTACCCATGCGTGATTTTGTAACACTGTGCAACAGTCATTTGGAAAACACTGGTTCACCGAGTCAGGCACCCAGAGAGAATGAGAGCAAAAGGCAATTACCATGAAAATGTACTGACCTGCAGGCCCTCCCCTTCCAGGCCACATCTGAGGACACTGGACTGGTGGAACTTCCTTATCTTCCACATGAGCCATGTTTAACTCAGAGAGAAAATAAACTTCTATGGGAAGGTGGGGGTCAGATGCAAGTGGGATCACCTGCATCCTGGGGCCCGGTCCCCTGCCTGACACAGGAACTGGCCTCCACCCCTGCCCCCAGCACTGGTAATGGGACTGCGCCTCTCCCTCCCTCCCACCCGCCAGCTGCTTCCTTCTCACCACAGGACCCCCTCATTCTCCCCCAAAATAACAGACCTTGCTAGTCTGCAGAGAGCAGAGCCTCAGGCGGCAAACCTCATGGACCGCACATGGCTGCTGCCTTGGGCTTTGCAGCTGATAATTCTTGGTCTCTTGAAATTACATATGTACGTATATTTATAGCCAAATACATGGGTGCTCAGAAATTGCAGCTCATTCACATACACATTTTTAGCATATCATCTGGCCACTGAGTTCCATCAGATGTTCCTTCCTGGGTCCTCTGCGTGGCTAGTCCTATGCCAGCAACAAGGTGAGGCCTTCGCCACTCTGATGGGCCCCTGTGCCAGTCCCTCCCACTCTCAGCAAGCCAGCGCCAAATGCTCTGCTTCTGACCGCCTCTCTCTCCTGCCAAAAGCCTTCAGTGAGGCTTGGCCATCCCAGCCCTCGCCGCTCAGTCCGTTTCCGCTCTGCAGCTTCCTCACCCTGCCCCCCATCCCCCACCTGGGGCAGAGAATCCTCTCACTTCATGATCACACCCGCCCCTGGACTGCACATCTGGTGTGGAGAGGACCTTGTATACAGTAGACGTTCAAAAAATCACCATGACAAGTAATCTCTGAGCACCTACTGTGTTGGGCCCTGTGCTATGCATTAGAGATGCGGCAGCGAGTAAGTAAAACACTGTTGTCTGGTCCCCTGAATAGAATACTAACATCCTGATACCCATTAATTCTCTGCTGCAATGTTGTGACACTTCTCCTGTTGTGCAGTATTATTTAGTCCTTCAGGTCACTGTGTACTATGCCCTTACTCGGATTTCGAACTCATCAAGGACAGTATTCTGTGTCACCTTTGCTGCCTAAGACATATTAGTTGTTCAATAAATATTGCTGACTGGGAAGCAGATTGAGCACAATACCCCTAGAATAAGAATCAAAACGATCCATCTGTTAAACCCATGTGAGGAGTCCCTGGTGTCTGCTGCCATATTAACTCGCAGTATGACTGCCATGTTTTATGTTTCAGTATTTTAAATGCTAGGTGGTAAAGAGCAACCCTCAACCCTGTTTTGGATGGTGTTCCATAAATCGCAGGAATCAGGCAGGACACACCAGGCTGGAGCAGCCTGTAGGGGTAGTTAGGTGCTAAGTTCTTGGATTCAAATGCCAGAACTGCTGTTTTTCCCTCTATGACTGGACTAAGATGCTTAGATTCTCCGAGCCTCAGTATTCTCACCTGGAAAATGGGGGGTGAAAATAACTGTCCCTAGATCAAAGTACTATCCTGAGAATTAAGTGAGAATCACGTCCAGAGCTTAGCACAGTGGGACACACAAAATTCACTCAATTCATAAGAGCTGCTGTTATTAATATTATCACTGTTGCAGCCCCTGTTGGCAAGAGCCCCGTGGTGGGAAAATTTGAAGATGGCTTCCTGTTCTCCACGGGGGTCTCACTCCCGTGTCCACGTCATCTGCATGGCAAAGGGATTTACAGGTGTGATTAATGATGTACTAACTAAGCAGGTGACCTTAAAACGTGGAGATTATCTGCAGGGGTGGGGGGAACCCTGACCTAATGACAGTGGCCCTTTAAAGCAGAGCATATCCAGCTGATCGCAGAAAGTGAATGTCGGAGATTTGAGACAGGAAAGGATCTGATGCCCCCATGCTGGCTTGGGAGGGCTGGAGGGGGCCACGTGGCATGGAATGCTGTAACCTCTAGACGCCGAGATCATTGAGGAAAGGGGGACCTCAGTCCTACAACCACTAGGAACTCCATTCTGCCAACAATCTGAATGAACACAGAAGGAGATTCTCCCCCAGAGACTCAGAATAAGAGCCCAGCCCAGCTGATAGCTTGACCTTGGACTTGTGAGATCCTCAACCCAGTCGAGCCAGCCCAGGCTTCTGACCTACAGAACTGTGAGCTAAAAAAATAGGTATTTTTTAAGCCATTAAGTTTGTGGTGACTTGCTATGCAACAACAAAATCTAAGATGAGCCCTGCGTGGCCTCTCGCCACACTGCCCATGCATTAAAGACGCAAAGGGTTGGTGCCGACTCGCACCTTCTGCATTCCTGAATGGCCGCCCGTCTGATGCTACGGAGCAGGGACCCATCGCTACCCTAGCACTTAGCAGTCTGAGTATCATACAATAGTCCGCAAAATTATCGTTTAACCTCCTGGGCAGTGAGGAACAGAGACTTACTGTTCCCCGGGTTGGCTCCACAGCTGCATGACCAGCCAAGTATAAGGTGTTTGGCTATAATTACCTGGGCAAAATGCAGCAGAGGCCTCTTTTTTGCCTAGGGGTAAAAACCTAGACACTGCAAGCAGCTCAGAGGAAGCACCCAGCAAGCAGGATAGGTGCGTGTCCACGTGTGAATGCCTTGCACGGTGGCCCCTGCCTCAGCTTGCAGCAGCTCCCCAGGGCTTAGCTGGCCACCAGACCCTGACATTTTGCTTGTAATTGTACCTTCCAGTAAAGAGGCCTAGTTGGAGTGGTAAAAATAGCAAGTCCAGCTTCCCGCACCACAGATACACCAGTCGGTCCTGGTGCCTGAAAAGAAACGTGCCGGTTCAGTCTCACTCTAACTCCACGGAGCGCCTGCGAGCTGGACCCAGGACGGCCAGCGAGAGCAGCCCCACGGTGTCCCTGCTCCCAGCAGATCCCCCTTGAGCCAGCCCCCGAGGGAGATGCCCCCGTCGCTCCCGTCATGAAGAATCCAGCCCTCAGACTCAGGGAGTGTCTGCTAAACGTAGACCCTTGCCCGTTCCCAGGCTTCCCGCCCTTCTCTCCTCCTGCCCGGTAGCTGCAGAGGTTCGAAGGTGGGAGACCTCCCTGCCAAAACCCACTGGTTCCCACTATCCCTGTGGTCATCGGCTCACTGTTACCCTCCCCCATGTCTGTCCACCTTCCTATCTGTGGCCTAGTGTCCCCCACAGCTAAACCAACCAGGTCGGGCTAGTGGCAGTAACACAAACCTCCAGTGGGACTTCGGGGCCCACTCAGCCCCATGGCCGCAGGGGAATCACAGCCCAGCCTGGAAGCTGCCCCCAAGGGTGGGGGTGAGCTGTGTCACACAGAGCCCATGTGGGGAATGATGGGAGAGCCTGGCTATACTGTCCCCAGGCACCTGGATCCCAGCAGTAATTAATTCTGCCAGGGGCCCAAGTCACCAGGCTGCTAGACCCTGGGCTCCCCAACATAGGGCCCCTGGCACGCCCGCCTCTGTCTGGTCTTGCAGGGCCTTCTTTAGGCCCCCTTGGGGGGATCCCCCACCTTGACCTTCTCCTCACACCTCCCGCCCGTTTATTTCGTCCATCTGGTGTCTGCCTCCCTCATTTGGATGGGGCCCCAGGATGGCAGGGACCACGCAGGCCTGGTCTTCCCATCCTATCTCCAACTCAAGCACGAGGGCCCTTTCATACATCTTTTGCTTGTTTTAAAACCTCCTGTGACAGGAAAACAGACGTGACTCCCAAAGCAATAACATGGAAATTCATGAAGTTCCAGGCGCTCCAGCCTCTGCCTCCACCAACAGGTAAACAGGAATGAGGCTGTGGTGGCCCAAGCCCCTTTCTGAGCTGCTTTATGGACTGGCCAGAGAACTGTCCCTGCCCCCCTGGCTCATTTCTTTGTCCATGCAGGTGGGAGAGGAAGGACCACATCGAGCGGGCCAGCTCTGACTTCTCTCCCAGGCCAGGTGAGACTCTCAGCATCTCAGAGATGCCAGGCAGACGTCCCTGCCACCTAAGGCCACCCCAGCCCCTCCCCTAGACACACTGGTGGTTCAGAAACACTGGGATTTACTCGCATATTCTGGGCCTCAGATGGCTGGCTTTCACCAGTAAAACCCATGATGTCTGCAGGGCTTTTCAGCATAAAACGAACTTTCAGGAATGTGTACGCACGTGCCACGCACAGCAGCCTGGCAGGGCACAGGGCAGGGCTTAAACGGGCCTCATTTCAAAGATGAGTTTGCAGAGTGAGGCTTTGCTGAGTCTCCAGCCCAGGTCAGGAGACCAGAGGCAGGGCGGACAGATGCTAAACCTTGACGTTCTGGAAAAACAAAGACAGATTAAAACAAAAGAGGCAGCCTGAATAAACCGGATCGCTCTTTTCTTTTTTTTTTATTAAAGGAATAATGAGATCGCTTTCCCCCACCACATTATCTAAAAGTGAAAATGAGGATAATATCAAATACGGGTAAGGATGTGAGGAAATGGACTCTCAGACACTATTAGTAGGAGAGTAACCTGGCTAACTTTTTGTGCAAAAGGCATTCAGCTTTGATAGAGAAAATTTAAAGATCAGAAAGATGTGTGATCAAAAATGCACACAACTTCTTAGATTGTATGGGGGTAAAAAAAATAAAACCAGACACGACCCAAACATCCCTCTTTAGGAAACAGTGAGAGGAAAGAGGGTGGTCTGGCCATACTGGGGAATGTCACACAGTGGGGAAATGGGAAGCGTTTCAACCACACACCAAGTGATAGAAGTGAGTACTGAGTATCACCCAAATTACCTAAACTCAAAATTTGTATAGAAAAAGGGGGACCAGAAGGGTAGGCACCCAACTATTGACAGATCCCAAAGACGGGGTGACTTTCATACCATGCTCCATTTTTTCTGACATTGTTTATAAAGGGAACTACTGATGTATTACTGAAATTAAAGAAAACAGTAAACCAACTTAAAAGGGCCGTATTTTCCTTGGCCTCCCTGTGAATCAGAAGACTAGAAAAGCAGCTGAAGCCCACCTCTGGGTGTCATCCCCCTCTCTCCCACCCCCAGTCCAGACACCGGCTGCTTCCCCTGGCACACCCGCCTCTGTCTGGTCTTACAGGGCCTTCTTTAGGCCCCCTTGGGGGGATCCCCCACCTTGACCTTCTCCTCACACCTCCCGCCCGTTTATTTCGTCCATCTGCTGTCTGCCTCCCTCATTTGGATGGGGCCCCAGGGTGGCCGGGACCGGCCTTGCTCTCCGATGCATCCTAGAGCCTGGCAGAGAGCAGACGGCGAAATATAGTCACTGGGTGCATTTGCAATGGAGACTTAATAAGTCCACTTGCTCACCTCTCATACAGGGAAACTGAGGCAGACTTTCAAAGATTACTGTAACTTACTTTTATCGAAGCATAGTTGACAACGAAGCCGACTACTTAGAGCCACTCACACCCCACCACTGTGCCACCACCACGCGGTCGCCTCACAATCCGGAAGCCCAGCTTCCAGGTTAGGGACCCTCTCTGAGCCTGCCTTTCCCCAGTTTCTAATGCACAGTGAGCCATTCAGAAAGTGCTAAATAAATGCAAATAGATGTTTGTTGCCTGAATGGAGCCTAGCCTCCTTCTCCCTTGCATTTCCGAAGCGGTAACCAACAGGCACTGCCCAGGGTCTCACCGGCCCAGCCAGGAGGTGGCAGAACTCGAACTCTGGATGCTGGAGGCAGCACCATGGCTTTCCAGGAAAAGAGCTCCTCCTCCTCTTGGCCCTCACTCCTGCCCAAACGTGGCCCCGCCAGCTGCAAGCCTGGCAGGAAGCTCGTCCTAGAGTTTGAACGGGCAAATTAATTAGGAAATAAGCTCCATTCAGCTTAGATTGATCTGTGGTCAGCCTCTCCTTGGCGACCCAAAGGAGTGTGTAGAAAATACCAGGCTTTTTGTTAACATCCCACGCGCGCACCCTCCTCTGATGGCTCGGCTGACTGCTGAAGGTCTTTTGGCAGACAGAGGTGGGTAGGGAGACATGGTGAGGACCAGGGCGACACAGCCCTCCGTCTGGCAGCAGAAGATGCAGTTCTCCCGGCCCTGCTGCACTCTGGCCTCCGAAAGAGAGCAGCCATCCAACTGGTCTTGCAGGCACCTCCTTGGCACAGCCTGCTGTACGGGAGCCGGGGAGCATCCTCCTCCTGTGCCCCTGGGCTCCCTCGTGATCCCTCTCTGCTCCTGGGTTTGGGGGGGTCACCCTAAAGTGCTCCCACACCTGCTGCCCAGCTCCCTGCCACGGACCACCAAGAGCAACCGTGAGAAATGATTACCCACCACACACCACCTCCCCTTGGGCCCAGCTTGCTTCTTCCTTGACCCCATCCTCTGGTTTCACTAGCCCTTCGTCCACAGGCCCTTCACACCTGGGCTCTAAGCTCCAGGGCAGGGGACGGAGGCAGGGAACCGAGGGACTTACTGGGAACGGCTGGCTCCGTTTCCTCTCACAAGAAAGGAAAGGGAACAGGGAGCTTGCCTACTGCACCCCTCTTTCTACAGGTGGAGAAAATAGTGCCGAGAGAGGGAAAGTGACTTGCCCCAAGGCCCGCAGGGCACATCAGGGGCAGAGCTGGAGCCAGACCTCTGGACTCCTGACTTCTCATTCGGCCCCTCTGCTCTGGTGGCGACCTGTCAAACTCTTCCTGCCCAGGAGGACTAAGCAGGTAACTCAAGCCGTATATAAAACTACTTAGCATCAGAGGCTGCAGGAACTTTACAGATTTCATAGCAAAACAATGAACAGAAGCACTGTACAGAAAGCACCCATCCTTTTTACGGAAGAGCAAATCGAGGTCCATAAAGGTAAGGGAATCTGCAGGAAGTCACCCCCCACCCCCACCTGACTGCTCTTTCTGCCAGCAGGTTCCAGGTGTGAGGGTTCCAACTGGAGGATGATGAAGAGGTGAAGCAGGCCTTGGGCCTGTCACACTGAAACAAGGTGTGGCCCAGAAGGCCTCATCCAGCCCCCATTCAACCTAGGGGTGCAGAAGACCAGTGTAGGGGAGAATGGCTGGTAAGATTTCTAGGTATTTGCAAGAAATAACAGTGAAATTTCCCAACGGGATTTCTGAGACCAGAGAGCTGACACTTTTAAGCACAGGTCAGTAAGCCACACATGCTTATCCTCTTTCATCTTAAAGAGCACTGGACAGGGCTTGGAAGGGAAGGTTTAGCAGTAAGAAAGAACAGCCTGTCAGAGCTGCAGGGCATGGGCCGGGGTGGGCGGAGGTGGCCGGGCCCTCGGAGAGGACTGAGGGCAGACACCCAGGCAGCATCTGAAGCCAGGTCCGGGTCTCAGTCCATGCTCCTTCCCAGCCTTGTGCTGAAGAGACCTCACAGGGAGCCCTCCCACCCCGGAGCCCTTCCTCTGTCTCCCAGCCCCAGGGCACCGCTCCCACTCCTCACTGCCAAGGACCGGGCTGAGAATGTGGGACATCAGTTAGCTACCTGTAGCCTGGGATGGGGCAGGCAGTGCTGCTCAAGGGCCAGGTGGTCCAGAGAAGAGGCTGGGCCCACGTCCCTCACCTGGGACAGACCCAGATTAATCAGGGGAAAATCCCGCCTGGACACTGTGAGTAAAAGCTGGGGGTGCACAGGTTCTCCTGGCCCCCAGCCACCCCAACTGTTTTCTTGCTGGGAAAACGCTTTGACAGCCCTGGCTGCCTGAGGCAGTTCAATTATGAAATCTACCACATTAGATGAAAACCAGCATCTCAGCCAATTCACTTGTGTCTGGCCACTATTTTCTCCTGCTAGCCCTGCCCACCCCCTTCCCTGGCCAGGCCACACCTACGCTGTGGGCTGGGCCACAGGCTCTCAGGGCTCAGGCTATGGGCTCCTATTTTGCGGACCTCCTGAGCAGTGGCTACGTTCAGAAGTCATCCATCTCCCTGGGGACTCCCCATGACTGCCGACTCCACAGCCTAGACCAACACGGTCCCAGGTGAACCTGGCCATTGCCCGCCCCCTCCCCGCCCCATCCTCCCAGACCTCAACCTGCACCTGCCTGAAGTCGGCAGGGAATGGGCTTCTAGAAGTATGTGTGAGTGAAGGGATGTGGATAAAGTGAAGGTTCCTGTGGCCAGGATTCTCACCTGGCCCTGGTTGGCTAGCTCACTACACACGTGTGGGCAATACATTCTTATTGACTATTTAAAGAGGTCCGCCCGGTGCTCTGGGCAACAGTGGCGGGGCTGCAAGGCTGCAGGAGAGCAGAGCCCGGCTTGCTGCCTGCAGACTCTCTGAGTGGACGGGATGCTAGTGATTGACCTGTCACATGGAAAGAAAGTTGGGTATAACCCTTTCACCCCAAGAACGTTCTACTGTAATTTCTTTGGTCACATTGAATCCATAGTGAGCTTGCCTGGGGCTGAAACCCATTGGCAAGACAACTGGTGAAGTCAGCAGGGTTCATGGGTGACCCAGGAAAAAGAACAGGTGCCCCCCTGGAAGGAGTGTTTCAGCAGCTGCCCCTACGGACGGGAGACGCTCGGGTGTCCCCCTGTGGACGTGTGGCACTGGGAAGGGGTGGGGGACTGGGGTCCACCCCGAGAGGAAGAAAATTTGTTGCTGACTGAAATGGCGTCACTACCAAGTGCTGTGGGAATTGTAAAGGCCCGAGAGGAGGCGGCCCGAGAAGGAGCAGCGGCCGGAGAAGGCGCACGCAGGCTGCCAGGTGCCACGGGGCAGGGGAAGGGTGCAGTGCAGCCGTCAGCCCCAGAAATGGGGGAGCAGAGGTCTGACGAACAGGTGGGAGTGGAAGCCCCTCCTCGGTGGAGACCCCACCTGGCTGGAAGCTGGTGGAGAGCCCGATGGACTCGGCAACCGCGGGCTCCTCCAGGGGAGGCGCAGCCCCCTCCGCAGGTCGGGGAGCGCTCCGTGCTCTGGTCCTATCCCCAGGCTCGGGCACAAACGGAAACACGGTCTGCTGCTCGGAGGAGGGATTTAAAGGGCCCCGTGAAGGTCACGAGGACCCAGGTGTGGGCTGGCGTGAAAAGGCAGGAATAGACGGGAGGAAAGTGGACTGGAGCTGCGGCAACAACTGCGGCCGGAGTGGCGGCTCCAGCTGCTGAGGACGAGGCAGAGGCGGAGATAGAGCAGCAAGATGGGCCTGTGTGTCTGCACGACTTCCTGCTGCAGGGGCTGGAGAAGGTGGGTACTGGAAGGCCCACCCGTGGGCCTTGGGTAACTCCTTTGAGTAGAACTGGTTTGAATACAGCCAGGGTGACCACTTGGCAATGGATCCCCTCAGGCTTGAGGGTTATTATAATTTGTTGTTTGTAT